GCTGCAGCAGACAGCAGAACCTATTTAGAGCAGACAGGTTTGGGGGTCCTGGGGCGCCCCCTCCAGCCCTGTAACAGCTGCACTGTATCTGTGCACTTGCTTAGTCGTCTCTCATCCAAGATGGACTCCCAGCTTCTCGAGGACACTGACCAAGTCTTACTTGTTTTTATATTCTTCATTCATCCCCTAGCCCAGAGCCTAGTGCTTGACAAATATTTATTGAATGATTCTTCAAATGAAGGGAGAGAAAGGTGCTGAGAGCCATAAGGTGAGCCACAGTGGGTACAGGGTGGTTAAGTGTGGCCTTTGGAGTCAAACTAGTTAAAATTCCAGTTACACCACTATGTTAATTAGTATTAGGTTTGGCTTAAATGACAGAAAGTCCCAAACAATCGTGATCTAAACAAGTTGGATATTTCTCTTTCATGTAAATGTCTAGAAGCGGTCACCTCAAGGTGGCTGAGTGGATTTGGTTGCACGGAGTCCTGGGACCCGGGGGTGCTCTGCCCATGCTCTGTTTGGGCTGGAACGTCTGTCCCCGCAGGTACAAGGTACAGGGGTGTCGAGTATGCAGGTCAGACGATGCAGCCTGAAGGAATGAGCACAACGGACCATTTCTCTTTTCTCTTTCGCTTGTGCTCCTGGGACAGCAGTTAGGACCCCGGAGCCTCTGGTGTTTATTTTGGGGAGACAATATGCCTGTGGCTTGGAGACTGGCTGGCGGGAGGGCTGAGCTGGCAGGGGACCCCGGGGTCTGCAGCAGGGCTTTTATCCTTTCCCCCACCCTGCCTTTCTGCCTCTCAGGGACCTCTACCAGGTACTCGGCTGGCACACGGGGGGTGGAAACAGCCTGTGAGTGAACACAGCGGGCCCCTGGCCGAGGGGCCCAATTCCGAGCCACTGCATGCTACCAGAAAACTCAAGAATCGGCTGCTCTTCTGCAGTCTGCAAGGGATATATCACTTGAAGCGAAAAATTGGAAACAAGCTAAATGACTAAGGAGAGAATGGGTGTACAAATGATGTTTCCACCGCTTCAACTGATATTATATGGCCATTAAAAACATGATGTGGTGATTTGAAAAAATAATTATATTACGGCGCTGAGAGTATAAAACGTCATCTCTGCCATCGATGTAAGAAGTGCATGTGTTACACACCTCAAAGAGGACAACATGAGTGATAGGTTTGTGGATGCAACTTGCCTCCTCTCTGTAGTCTCGTACCAATCTCTGCTCTTTGTCCACTAAATAAGAACATTTTAAAATCTTGCTCTCTCGCCCCCAGAAAGAACAAAGGCCGCCGCTAGTCTGGCTCCTTTGCTTGTTCTGATATTGACTTTTTCAATCAATATGCTCAGGACAAGACATGGTTATTTTAAAAACATAGTTGAAAGCAAACCCCAGATGAATCCGGTTGCCTGCTCACTTCTCCTCTGGGTAGGGGATGACTAATGAAAGCAGCTCCTTAGAGGCCACGCCAGCCCCAGAGACCCCTAAACAAGCTGGGGTGCTTCCGAGGCTCCGGCCCGCAGTCCGGGTGAGTGGCAGCCGGCTCACCTGAAGCTTGTCTTCAGAGGTGGGGCTGGTTGGTTGGCACCAGACACAGAGCTGCCTGCGCGTAAGTCCTGACTTGGATTTGGCTGAGTGAGCTGGACAAGTAAGGAATCATCACTCGACAATGACCCAGAATTTCAGGAGCCACTTTGATACCACTTCTGCTGTGTAAACGGCGCAAATCGCTCAGCTATTCTCCAGATTAAGGGGACCGATTGTTACCTGCCTCTACATGGCCGAGGAACAGAAAAATGACGCCAGTAATGACTGACACTGGAAGCTTTGCAAACAGGAAGCAAATGTTCTGGCAGACCCCGGAGTCTGGAGTCCAGCCCCGGCCCGCGCTCACAAGCAGGGCTGTGCAGGCCAACAGCTTCTCAGTCTCAGCTTCCTCATCTGTGAACTGAGGAGAATGTGTCCACTTGACTGGACTGTTGTGAAATGGAGTTCGGGTATGAGGAAAGACTTTATAAATTGTCAAGTGCATGTATTAGTTTGCGAGGTCTGTCATAACAAGGTCTCATGATGTGGTGGCCGGGTAGAAATTTGATATGTTCTCGTTATTCTGGAGGCCAGAGGCTGACCTGCACCCTGACTCAGCAACGGCACCTCCTCACTGTCTTTTCATGTCTTCCCTTTCTCCTTGGGTCCTGAATACCCCTTTTCCTGATAAGGACACCCAGCGTGTGGCTGAGGGCCCAACTCAATCAGCTGAATGACCTTGGTTGAACAGGTGATTTTTGGGTGAAGGGGGTGTTAGTGTGCAACCCAGAGCGTGGGCATCAGGGGCACCCAAACTTGCATGCTCTTAAGGGATCCTGCTACCCTTACTCAAAGGCAAAGGTCTGTAACAGCGTCAGTGTGCAGAGAGAAGGAAGGATATTACTGAGAATAGTTTCCCAACAGCATGCTCAAAATTCCCCATCTCCTCACGGGCAAAGGCTCAGGCAGACAGGACTGACCCAAAGTGGGCCAGAAGTCTGAGACCCCAAAAGCTGCAGCAAGTCTAAGGCACCTTTTGGTGGCAAAACACAAGAAAAGGGCAAAAGGGGTCAGGCAGTCTGCGACAACAGGAACAAAACAGGACAGACCCAGATCAGGGCTGCCGCGGTCAGGCTGCGCTCCTGTCTCTTGCCCCCTCTTTCTTCCAAGTGTCTCAACACGTCTCTCCTCCGCCCGGCCCCTCGAGGGTGCAGGTCCGGCCACATGTGCTCAGCTTTATGTCTAGTCTGGTTGCTCGGCTCCACCCCCAGCTCCCCGCTGGGAAGTCTGGTTTATGGGGCCTGGGACTTGTCTTCAGGGTGGCTGCATTGAGGCGTGGGAAGGGGAGGTAGGCTGCAATGCAATGTCCTTTTTTT